CTAAGCGCTAGGAACAAGCAGCAACAGCCCTTTTTGCCGAAGGCTGGACATGTATAGTGCATGGAATCCCCTTGTGCTACCTTTTTCAGGTAGGTCGGATGCAACCATGCAAGGTCGCATCGAAAGCCCTCGGGCATAGAGCACTCTATGCACCTGTGTGTACCCAAACCCTGGGACCTGGATCAGTGCTTGGCCGCCTTCTTCCGTTCCTGCATGTGCTTCTTCCATTCGGCCCGACCGTTGAGTCGCACACCGGCGAACCCATCGAAATTGCAATTGTCGCAGCCATACACATTGCCACGGCATCTTGCACAGCCCCAGCAGGTGAGCCTTCCGTCCTGCTTGGCAGCCTTCTTCTCTTTGTTCATCGGGTGTTTCTCAACACACTTCGCTGCAGGCTTTTTGAAGAGCTGTGGCATCTTCTGATTGCAAGGCTTCCCATTCTTCTTCTCCTGCTTCGGTGCTTTCTTATTCTCCACTTGTGCCAATGCCTCTGCTTCGTACTGTTCCAAGCTTTTGCCTTCGTTTGCCCCTGGCACCGACTGCTTTTCCGGAGACTTGTTTTCCGGAGCATCGGCGGGGCTCTGTGCCGGTACGTGCAGTAGAGGAATTTGCAGGTGTCGGCAGCAACTGGAGCTGCCGGATCACCTCGTCCTTGGAGGGCATGCAACTCGAGGGGCATGACTGCTTGAGTGCAGCTTGTCTGGCTTCCTTCTCGGCAAGCTTTTCTTTCATGGTCTCCAGCCAAGTCTTTTGCTGCATGGCATGCATGGACATGTTGCAAGCAAGCTGGTTGGAACCCTGAGAAGTGCCTTGAAGCAGCCGGCTGGTGGTGCGGATTGGGCACGACTTGGACAAGACATGCAGCTGTGGCAGCTCTGCACAGCTGGGGTGAGAACAATTGTAGGCTTTGGCAATCCAATCTGGTCCCAACTCTCGAGGATCGTCCGGATATGTCCGGAAGGCAGGCACATCAATCTGTACTTCAGGCTGTGAAAAACGTCCTGGAAGTCAGTCGCTAATTTGTAGATTTTGTCTGCATCTGGTTGTTGGGGATTCTGCCAAAGATGGGCTTGCACATGCAAAGTGACACAGGATTTCTTCGTACATTCTTTGCGGCTCGTCAAGCCAATCACCCGAAGCCGTCTGGCAATGAGGATCGGGGCGTCCTTGATGTCACCTTGCATAAGCTGCACTATTTCCTCTTTCGTCAAATTCAAATAAGCCACTGGGTTCTTCAGTGTCTGCGGAACTTTGACGAGCTTGCAGCCACCTTCCGTGCTGCCACCTGAAGCATTCTTCAAAAGAGCATCACTCAATGTCTTTTTTGTATTTTCGTCCAATCCAGACTGTTCCACAGACTGGAGCATGTTCACATACTCCCCTGCCGGCAAACTGTCGGCAGTCACGACCTTCTTTTGCAAGACATTCAAAAGACTCGCCTGGAGCTGTGGATTCGGAGACAAGCTCAAAAGCTTCTGGACATCCGAAAGCTCCTTGGCAAAGTCCTTGCTGCCCCAAGCAATTGCCATGAGTCCAAGGACCCAGGACCTAAATTTCTAAATGATTGGGGCCTGTGCTAGGAGCCTGAGCCCGTAAGCTTGCCACCAAGGGCCAGAACACGAACAATTAGCAAGTTTTAGGCGTCCCAAGTATAACTCAATCAAAACACGCTGCTTATTGAAACCTTTTCAGTACCGCAGTCCTCGAGAAGCTTATGCTCCTTCACCTCACGCCAAACCCTGAACATAAGACCCTCCAGGCCCTGAACCTCCAAGCAAAGCAAGATACCTACGCTAGATGGGTGGCGTTTCTTTTGACGCCGTTCTTGGTTCCTGGTGTTCCACCTTTAGTTTGATTTTTCGCTTAGTCACCATTTTTCCACTTTTACTTTTTTCGCTGCTTTTACAGTTTTACACTTTTCGCTGCGTGGCGCGTTTTTACGATTTTACGGTTTTTCGCTGTTTTTACAGTTTTACTCTTTTCGCTGCGTGGCGCATTTTTACGATTTTACGGTTTTTCGCTGTTTTTACAGTTTTACGCTTTTCGTTCCGTGGCGCGTTTTTACGGTTTTACGTTTTTTCGCTGTTTTTACGGTTTTACCTTTTTCGCGCGGTAAAGTGTTTTTGCAATTTTACGTTTTTCGTTTTTACCTTTCTCCTTTCCGCGGCGGAAATAGATCCGATCCTGCAATTTTTTACATTTTAACAGTTTTACATTTTTCGCCCCTGAAGCTGGGCCATCTGGTTTTTACATTTTTACATTTTTACCGTTTTACTCGCTTCCTCCGGTCGAAAATGTACTTTTCGATTTTTCGTTTTTACGTTTTTCGCTGCCGATGTGCGTCCGGACTCCTTAACTGTTTCAACAACGCTAAGCCAGCACAGTTCGCTTTCGTTCTTCGAGTGGGGTCCTGGTTTATATGAGCATAGCCGAAATCAACCAACCTTAAGAACAGCTCCAATGCCAGAAAAGAATACCGTTTTTCAGTCTAAGCCACCCGAAACACCAGTGGTAAAGAAGGACGTGTTCTGGGAATTCCGGGAGTCTGGCTCTTTCTCGGGCTTTAAGATCCGTTACGTGGTGATAGTGCCGGTGTGCTACAACATGGTCTGTTGAACTTGGTTTCTTTTCGAATCCATAACGTCTTATACTAGAATCTGGGTGACACAGTCCGTTTTCGAGTGTTTTCCTGTGTGCGCGTCAGTAAAGTTGTTTTCAAAATCCGAAAACTGCAACGCATCAGTGCCTGTCAGTCAACATAGCCGAACCTGTCTGCGCGTCAGCTCCTCCGCAGCGCCCGGCAGCCATGCGTCAGATTTGGCGCCAGCTGCACATTTTAGAACAGCATGACCAAAGGGTTTAGACCACCGCACATGCCTGGCCCAAAGCTAGCACTCCTACTTCTTTGTTTTCGTCGTGCGGATCTCAGCTTACCATGTGCAGTCAGATGAAAGACTTCTTGTCAATGAGGGTTGATGGGAAATATCGGGGCTCTGGGCTCGCATGCAGCTCTGCATGAGGTGTCCTGCCAACTCCAGCTTCCCGGATCTGCCCTGAGATTCTGGTGCAGGCTTTACAAGATTTTCCTTGCCCCTGGATTCTGGTGGATCTGTTCCTCTGGCCCAAACCAGTGATCGTCTTCGCTCGAGCTACTGCAGCGGTAACGCATACGTCTTTCACAGCCTTAACTTCAACACACACAACACACCTTTGCGTCGAACATAATTTTACAGAATCAGTGTTCTGTGCGAACTTGACAGCATGTCGCCGGTGCCATGCAACGTGCAGTGGCGGCCTGCTGCGCCTGAACTGAATCAATATGTCCCCGGCCCTTGGCCGAACACACTGGACGCGAGCGGGTCCCCTGGCGAATGCCAGTACACTACATGCGAGGAGAGACTCAGCTGAAACGACAGGGCCCAGCCCGTTGCATGCGGCATCTGCCTGGAATCTCGCGCAAGAGAGTGAGGTGGAACAAGTCGTTCGTCGTGGTGGACGTGCAAGAGCTCCTCGAGCTGTACTAACGAAAGTACGGTTGGAGTCTGTGTGCAAAGGACAAGAGACAGTGTTCCAGCATTTTTCGCGCAGACACAGCATGACAAGACCTTCCGTCGGCGCTGAGGTACGAGGAACTTCGGGCTGAGGCCCGGACGGCCCCGATGCTGCGCAAAACGCACTTCGGCTGCATTTCGTGAAGTGCCATCTTGGTCATAGGCTTCGAAGCGGGCGTCTTTCTTTTCCGATTCTTCGGAGCCGTGCTCTTGCAGATAAAGTATTCTGCGGTCTTTCCTTTCGCTGTTAAAGCAATACAGCATGGCAAAACATTCAAACTGTGCTCAGGTGCCGGGAGCTTCGTCGCGATTGGACTGATGCCGACAAGCTGGAAAAACAGCTTCTCAGCTGCAGTTGGTTCGATTCGCGGCCTGGCTAGTTGCACGATGGATGTGCTGCTTCCGTCGGAAGTTTTCAAGAGAGCGGCGGGCCACCCCCCCAACACCTCGATAAAGCTTCAGGCAGGGTGGAAGCATGTTCCGACACAGATTGAAGGTCCTCAGGACATGCTAGGCCCGATCGTTTGGAAACGCGCAACAGCACCGGGTTTGATTCTCAGCTCGCTAGCGGTCGTTTCTGCATCCTTTGCGTCCACCGTCCCTGCAGGCTACATGTACGGAGAATTGTTCAGAGGGCCCTGATGCAACTTGTCGGCGAGCTCGTTGAGATCAGCAGGGATGGCTACTCCAAAATAAGAGTATTTTGATGACCGGACAGCTGGCGCAAGAACGCAGGAGATGCAATAATGCTAGTACATCGAGTGCGACCTTGTGCCATGTAGTGACCATCTCCCAGACAAAAGCTGCAACCTCCCCGAGCCCTCTTTGGTCTTCACACAGCCAAGTTGCAATTCCGCCCGAGTCATTCTCCCCAAGTTGCTGTAGCGAAGCCTTTTTATGCTGCTCCGGCGCCTGCGCGCGCTTATAGGTGGTTCAGTGGACCAAGGCGCCTGGACGCACAGGCGGAGTGCGGGAGCGGTACGACCTCCGATCAGCTGCTCGGCTGCTGTGTCGCTCGCGAGCTCGGAACCACGACTAGTCTTTGAGGAGGAGGGCCGAGCTAGCATGTGAATGGCGCGCGCATAGCAAAACAAGGACCCCGTGAGACATGTCAATGTCTTGGATCTACAGGGCGTCTGGAGTTTGAGAATATGCCGATATCCCAAGAAAACCCTGCCGCTTCGAAATGTTGACAACGCCTGGTTTTGCACCCTTGTGTCAGTCACATCGCCAGGACGCATCAAAATAGTTGGGCCAGGTGAGTTGTTGTGACTGTTGTGATTATCTCATAGACAGTCGGAGAAAGTTGCAAGCTTCTTCGAGGTTGCTCCAGCATAAATGTCCCACCATCAGACTTCTTGCAGCTCTTGACTGTTAATTCCTTGCTTGAGGTGGTTGCACGGACCAAGGTGTCCGGACGAAGCAGAGGTCGAGAGCGACACGTCGATGGCTTCAAACGAGTGCCTCGATCAACCCCTGGATCAGCCACTCGGCAAATGCCAGGGACGATGTTGGCGAGCATGCCACCCCCAAGACATGGGATCGTTCCCTGTGCCAAGGCAGACGGTGTCTGCACCTTCTCCGAACAGCGACGACGGCTCTACGAAGGAAGCAAGCGAAGTGTCACACCGACGCAAATTCTTCAGCATCTGAGCGGCTCACCCGATAGGAGCTTCTACACCCTGCCCCTTGCCACGGTTCTGCTCGCGAGGCGTTCTGCTTAAGTAAGCTGTCGATGGGAGCCAGCACATTCCCTGTGGTTACCAGGTCGAGATGAAGGACGATGAGCAGCCCATGATGGAGGCCCTGAGAGTGCAGCTGCCAAAGGAGCACAGCTCTTGATGTCCTCGGTTGACAGGAAGATCTGCCTGGAGCGCTCCGGGCCGAAATGGGCGAAGTTCACGAGGGGACCTCAAGTCAGGTTGAGATGCCCCTCTGGCCGCACGCTGGGTTCGCATGTCGAGCTTTTGCCACACTGCCGCGCGTGGGCGTCTTCGGTCCACGGAGAGGCAAGAAAAGAAGCGGAAAAGGGGAGCCTCAATGGACTCGAAGGGCGCGCACGGACCGGAATCCGATGCTGAGAAGGCGCAGGCCTCCATTCGTCTCAGACGCATGTCTCGTGCCCTGTATTCCGTCGAGGATGCCAAAGGTTCACCGTTTGTTCCATTGCAGATGCTTGAGCATATGTGGTCTCGAGGCAACCACGGATCCTTTGCACAAGTCCTTCGAAACTCTGCAACTTGGCCGCCAACGAGCTCCAAACAGGGACAGCTGCTGTGAAACCAGTGTTTTTGATGCAATGGCGTTACAAGTGGCGCTGTCGGAGCATGCCGAGGTCCGTGTTGTTGCAATACCTCTCTGTGGCTTATCTCCTATATATGAGTTGCTGGCTATTGTGAATGGAAGCGTAGTATCACATACAGATCCACGACACTGGGACACGAGGTGACCGACATCTTGGCCTGGCGTCAGACATCCCTGGAGAACCGGAGTCCAAAGGCCGGGAGTGTCTCGGTGGCTGATTCACGCTTATTTCAAGGCGAATCCACGCGAGGTCTTGTTGCAGCACGTGGCCAACCTTTGCCCTTGCAGCCTGGACACGCCGGGACCTAAGGGCCGACTGGATCACGTACTGGTGGGCTGAGGGACTGACGTGCAAATCCCGATCCGTGCAGGGCCGACATGCTCGTCGCCTATTCTGCATTCGTGAACCGGCGTGTGACCACGATCTCAGTCTGTGAAGCCATCGATGTCGAAGAACAAAAGTGCTTTCAATGCTTCTGGATCTGTTTAACACGAATTGTAGAATGGGAAGTCCTTTTGCCTGCGGTTCCATTCAGCATATACCAACTTGCTGAGCTTGCTTACTCGTCTTCCTTCATCTCAGGCCAGGATTGGTGTCGCGTGCTGGCCCGCGCCAGGACTACCCATTCCTTTGATGCAGCGGACGTGCGTACGATCATCTGCCAGCACCTCCACAGCGCATTCAGACTTTTTCTCGACCCAAGTGACGACGTGGCTGCTTCGGCCCACGATTTGATTGTAGAATATGGTCAAGGCGGCCTGCCCTTTGCGCACGAGCTGATTGCAGAAGCTATGCTCAGGCGGATGCGACACATCATGTCGACCAAAGACAATTTTGGGGTGGGCTGGCAACAGATGTTGTACTGCATGCAACACCTCGAGTCTGTCGTTCGATCGCTGACCAAGCCTCAGCGGCAGGAATGGGTATCCTTGCTGGTCACAGGCCTGCATCGTCTTGAGAGTCTCGTTCAATCATTCAAAAAGGCTCATGCAGCTTCAGCTACGGAGTATTTCAAAGAAAGCCAGAAGCTGGTGATCGAGGACCTGGTGCTCCTCTGGTGTGTTGATGACAATCCCGGAGAGACTTATGAAGAAGTGAAGCCGCAGTTGCGTGCCTGGCAGGGATCCAGGACCTTCCAGGACGTGCGAAACAGCTTGTTGTTCCTCCTCAAAGCCTGATGTTCGTCTGACAAGCGGAAAAAGGGGTGAGGGGTCAGGCCGAACCTTGAGACATGAAGTGCTGTAAAGTCTTGACTGCCACAGTCTGTCGAAAGGAATTGGCAGAGCTTCCGCAACACGGATTCATTTGAGATCTTCCGTATCAACAGTGCTCGGCTAAGGCCATTGACATGAACCGCTTCGCCCCTCTGCAGGCCAAGTTGAGTAGGGAACCGACTTTAATCATGCGGTCTCAGGTAGAAGAGTGCATCCAGTAGGATTGTCTCTGACAGCCTTCGCCCGCAGCATACTTCAAGTTTAAATCGCAATGCAAGCAATCAATATATCCAGTGTTACAACGAGGACTTTTCCAAACAGGCTCGGTGTGCATGCTTCATGAATTTTTATTACATGCTGAGCTAAGGCATGCGCATGGGTTGATGCCTCTGCTTGAAATCCGTGCATGCAGGCATTCGCCGATGAGGACGCAGGCCATCTAAGGTTTAGGGTTAGGGTTCAGGGGTCCGGGCAGGGGTCCAGGGTCCAGGGTGGAGACGCAGGGTTCAGGGTGCAGGGGCCAGGGTCTTGGGGCTTGTAGTGTATGTGTTCAGGCATTGGTGTGTCTACAAGCCTTAAACCACAATCCTCATAGAACCATTCTACTTCGCACCTTCATGAAACTCTTTTGGAGTCCTCAAGTTGCTCGAAAGAGTCGGCTTTACGGATTTAGGCTCCTGAGTTTCAAGCGAGAGAAGGTTTACTTGGGGTTAGTCGACACTGTCACGGGAACCCTGGAGAATGGGTCAAGCTAGGGATGTAGGAAGGAAAGTAGATCTTGCGAAATGTATACCGCATGAGCCAGTAGTAGTAGTCGTCGTCGTAGTAGTAGTAGTAGTAGTAGCAGTAGTTGCAGTTGTAGCAGTCGTAGTTGTAGTCGCTGTCATAGTCGTAGTCGTTGTCGTAGTCGTAGCAGTGTAGTTGTGTAGTAGTGTAGTAGTGTAGTAGTAGTCGTAGTAGTCGTAGTAGTCGTAGTGGTGGTGGTGGTGGTAATTGCCTTCCGGAATTCTTCTCCACATCTAACTTCGTCCAACAACGTTGTCGAGATGAGCTGCCGCAACTGTCATGCCGTGACGGTCAGGGAGCCGGACGCCGGAAAGGCAGAAAGGGATGCAGCTGCGAAGAAGGCAAGCGCAGCTGTCAATGCTCTCCTTGCTCTGCTACTATCCCAAACTTTACAAGTAGACTGTCCGCGGCTCAGTCCAACATAGCAAGCCTGAGTCACTTTCCCCATATTCCGCAGTGTCCTGGTGCCGTTTCCGATGCTTATTCTTATCGGTTTGCTGTTGGAGTGTTGTCGAGCACCACGTTCCAAAGCAGAAAGTTGGTGCTCGCCCAGTATGATAGTATGATGTGCATCTTGAAGTAAACTCAATGACTCCATGGATCTCATGGTATGCTTGAGGGACAGCGATGTTGCCGAACCTTCGTCAACCACTCACCACAGAATGGCAAAGCAAAGTGCAGCAGGGTTTGCGGGACAACGATTTGTAGACTGTGTGGACAGAGCTATACCGTAAATGCTGAAATCTTGGAGATCGAAGCCAGACGTCCTTGGTGCCAGGAGATACTTTTTTTGGGGGGTCGGGTTTCGCGTAATGGCCTCGAGCCGTTGTCGCCTAACACGCAGAATTTCAACGCACGACGCCTTAAGCCTGAACCCGAAACGCCGAGATCCAAAGCCCTTGAACCCGAAAGCTTGAGCTTCTGTAGTCTCAAAGCCCTGAAATCCAAATCCTTCAACCAATAAAGACGATAATCCTTAAACCCAAAGCCCTAAACCCTGAACCCCCCCCCCCCCCCCCAAGAAAAGCTCTGAACCCATAACCCAGCAGGCAGGGAAAGCCTCATAAATAGGTTTGTACGCGTGGAATGGGGGCATCCCAAAAGCCCCAACCGGTGTGATTCAGTTGAAACGGCCGGCCTTTCCTCACGCGCCACACTCCTCCGCCGCATTCCCCGGCACTACCGAACTCGGGCGAACTCCACCCCGCATTTTCCAGCGCACTCCTGCGGTACACACTCCCTCTCACTCCCCGTGACTCCTCACTCATCTGTTGCGTGTCATGATCAGTGAGAACTCGAAAGTGTCGAACAATTTCAATCACAAATGTCTTTTCAAGCAAATAAATTGCCCAAGTGTCGCAGCTGTGTAAAGCTTTGCGGCAAAGCGCCAGAGTGTGTTGGCGCCCAGTTCCAGGCTCCACATCTTCTTTTCTGGAAACTTCACCACACACTGACTTTTGACTAGTCGAACTGCACATTACATAATTTCACCAGCACTAGAGTTACTAGAGCGATTGTGCGATCGCGTGAAGCCTAGATGCACGTACTAGAGCATACTGTAGGCGCGGATGCATGTTGCGTCATTTTTTTATCGCAGTTCGATCAGTCGATGCCTCTTCTGTTGCCGTCATTTGCCGTGTTCCAACATCTTGCCTGGCGGGCAGCTTCTGCGTGCAGAGCTGCTTTGCACCCTCACTCAGCCCAGGACTCAGCCTGAAGCTCGAAGAATCCTTGTTTCTGTGTCCTCCTTAATCGCTGTCCGAGGGTTATCTCTTCGACAACAGTGACCAGCGAGGCCTGGGCATGACTTTGTTCAACGAAAGCAACTGTTTTCAGGGGCGTTGCTTGAGATGTTCTGGGCTACAAGGGATTGTACAGGGGTATCATGCGGGGGAATACAAGGGATTCTAGAAGGGTTTCTGTAAGGGTCTCCATAAGGCTCTTTTGAATATCTCTACACGAGTACTCTCATGGTTTCTACAAGGCTACTCAAGCTCTGTTTCATCCCACACCTGGCCCGCTGACATGTTCGTCATGCTGCCTGCTTGCCAGATTTGGTGCCGAGATGAAGCATGGAGTGCTTTAGTGGGACCCGATGGGAAGAAACCCTAAACGCTAAACCCCTAAACCCTAAAACCCCAAACCCTAAACCCTAAAACCTAGCAATCTGAAGCCTTGAAATTGCAGGTCTCGGAGCTTCCGGCCCCTAGTGCCGGAGGTGGATCGCGCGCGACCCCGAGAGAGGAGAGACTTCAATATGGTAACCTACCTTTTGAAGGACTTACATGAAGAAATCACAATATTTCTCTCTCCCTCTCTCTCTTTCTCTGTGTGTTCGAAAGGGGTTTCGGATCCAGGTCGTGCCTTCTGCGGCAAATGAGCGCGGCGCATCGGAGCATTGCATGTTTGGGAAAAGGCCGCAGTGCCCTGCCTGACACGTTGCATTCCGGCTTTGCTTCGGCTCGCAGTATTCCAGCTTCCCATCCTGAAGAACATCGTAGATCACGCAGGCTTGTGAAGCTCCAATAAATGCATACAGGGTGCTTCGGTCAAAGTTCTGGGAAGTTCTGAATCCGTATGATGCGACAGCTTCAACTCATGTCGGCCACGATTAGATCATGCGGTGGGCACTCTGTTGGGCTTCGGACCCAGTCACGGCAAGATTGGGCTGTGTCGTCCTGGCATCCGGGGCCTTCCAGTTACCTATGACCGGGTGTATACCAGGGTTCCATGGGCGGCGATAAAAAGCCGCACCAGTCGGACACCGGCCTTCAGAAATCATGGATATCTTGGAACAACAAGATAAGTAGCTGATAGGTTGTTAACCGAATACTGAACACTTACTGCGAACATGCGAAGGAAATCTCCCGGCTCGAGTGCTAAGAGTGGAGACTGAAGCTGATGTGATGCTTGCACGGACGTTTCAAGGGCGGTCCACGAGTGAACTTCTGTCCCACCAGCAGCAACTCACTGTGGCTTGACGGTGTTTGCCAGCTTCTCACACGAGTTATGAATTCCGTGTTCCAATCGAACATGTCATCCATTCTTGATGTCGTGGCTGGCGTGCTGCCTGGCCACCTTGCGCTTCGCCAGTGCCGGGACTCCGAACATGCTTCCAAGTCTACTGTGCAGCCGCAGAGTGGGGTTGCACAACGAGCGGTAGTCAGATCTCTTGGCATGGGAAATGGGGAGGATCTACCGCCACGATTTGGTCGATGGCGAAGTCCGGGAGGCCTTACTCCAAGGTTTGATGTATGCCACACAAACTGCACGGGCCAAGCACAGCCGCAGGTGTCATGCGAGTGGCTGGACGACTGCTACGAGAAAGGCATCATGACGCCTAGGGCCCAGAGCAAACGTGTCGCTGCATGCCGACATCGCGACATGTGTGCTCCACGATCGCGAGATGTCGCAGGGTCACGTCACTTCACGCCACTTCACGCCACTTGCATGCTGCATGCTCATATTCCTTGATGCAAGGCCCGGCACGATGCTGCATCGGATGTGGGTGAAGGCCTGAGAGACGGCATGGCCTTCGGCACGGAGTGAATTGTCCCCAATCTCATTCAACTCCCGCTCCGGTGTGATGCGCCGGCTTGTTCCTCAGGCCAGGGAGATTGCCTTGCCGGCTTGCTCAGTGATGGCAGGTCGAGTCAGTGCCATCTGTTTCGGGGCCGCCCTGGCACGTACTGTAGCCAGGACGAGGCCCTCCGGCGCCGCCAGGAGAAGTTGGATGCACTGCAGAACGAGTCTGCAATGCTGGCAAAGCAGATGCAGGCAGCAGTGGGAGGCGGTGGATACGGTGTCCCGTCAAAAGAGTGCTTGCCGTGGAAACGTCAGGCGCATCCTTCGCCGGATGCTTGGTGCTGGCGACCCGCAAAGGGCTCCCAGCACACGAATGGCGCGGCCCTGAGCTTCCAGAAACTGGGTCCTGCGGGCGATTCGTATCGGTGTGTTTTGAGTCTTGTCTCGGACAAATAAAATCAAACAAATCATCCTATCCGGTATCGTGCCTCCTGTCTTGGCTTTGCTCCGGAGGGTTCAGACTCAGACTATCGGAGTTGCGGTTGAGCGAAGTGTCTCCCAGGTGCGTCGCTTCAAGGCAGGGCCCGGAGTTCAAAGGGCGTTGAAGGCAGCTTGAGGGCTTTGGAGAAGTGAGCGGCGCGTCCTGCGTCCTGCAGGCGGCCTACAGTGAGCCGTGCTAGTCTCAGGACGAGCCAAGAGGCGTGACGGTGCTGATGCTGCTCTTCGAAGCCTGCCAAGAGCAGGCGCGGACTTGCAACACAGAACAGTGAGATTCGTTCAAGCCACGAGCGTCCGTCCGCGATGAGGGAGCTACCGGCTACCGCCCCAACCTGCCCTTGTGTCTTTAGACCTCGAGCATGTTTTGAGATAGGCCAATTTCGCCATGACACGCTGATGTTGCGCTGTACCATGCCGTAAGCAGTAAGCAAAGAGGCATGGATCTTGACTTTGGAGTCGGTGCCTGCTGTGATTTTCATGCCTGTCGGCTTGGAAAACAGCGCCTCGGCAGCCGGACCCTTCCTCCCCAGCAACATACCAAGCTTAGTGTACATTAGATAGACAGTTCGATAGACATACCTACATGTGCACATAATATGCATACGCATATACATGTGCATTGATGTACTCATTTGTTTTGTCATTCATTTGTTGTTTATTTATCTTGATGTGTAAGCATAAAATGCAAGAGCCTGCGGCAAGTGGTTGAGCAGTGCTAGTAGCTTTCAGTTTCAGCCTTTCGTGCGGGGTTGTGCTGCTACTTGTACTACCTTGATTTCATGTTGCAGTTCCCGTGCCATCATTAAGCGTGCGTGCTATCTGGACGGTCTCGATGACCACGGGAGCTCTTGGCGTCTCAGTCTGGGTGCGCTGACAAGGATGTTCTGTCAGCGCTGCCTCGCCAAGTTTTGGAGTGGTCCCAGTCTTCTCAAAGACGGGGCTTTGCTTCGTCCCCACTCCGCCTTCAGTCAAAGCTGGTGCATGTCAGGTCCACTGCATTCTGCGGTCGTGTCGGGGCAATTTCTGGCTCGGCTGCTGTTTCCGCTCTCGCGTGCTGCGATCCGCCCCTCCACCGACCCCCCAACCGGAAAGGATTTTGGCCGTGCTCTCCAACCCTCCCAATCCTCCTGAATCGGGTCTCCAGGTCTGCTTAGGTCTCCCGGTGGTCTCTTTATTCTTTCTTGGTTCGCTTGTGTTCTCCCTGTGGTCGCTTGGCTATCATGGTCGTCCCGATCGTAGTTGTCGTCGTATATTTTCGTGGAGCATGCAGGCGCAGACTGGCAGATCAGCATCCTGCGCGCTTAGGGGTATCCGTCCCGCACGCACTTCCCGCTTGTAAGTAACAGACTGTTGCTGGACGATGTGATCGTGGGGTGGAAGTTGAAGATACGAAGTCTCTGCGCGTTGGTCGCTCCAGCTTCACCTGCCGCATATGAAGACCCATGAACGAAGGCAGACAAGCAGCTATGCAACGTTGAGTAGCAAGGAGATCCAATGATCCACCCAAGAATCTGAGGTGCTTCATTTGCCGGGGCATGTGGCTGGTGGCTTGCGGGACCGCGCAAGGCGCAGGGCGCAGGGTGCACGGTAGGCCTGCAGATGCCGGAAAGCCGAAGGGTCTCCGAAGGGCCTCCGAAGGGCCTCAAAGGTCTCACAGTCTCCTGGGCTCCTGGGACCTGTCCCCGTGCATCGTCAGGGAGCTTGGGATTGGGCGTGGGTGTGCGCCAGGCAGCGCTTCTCGCTGGGACTGGCGCAGAGAGGCGGGGCGCCTTGCAGGGCAGTGAAAGGCTTCAGCTGTTGAAGACAGTCTGATCCTTGTGCATGGACTGCATGGACCCTGTTCTGTCCTGCCATCTCGAAAGAAGTTCCTGTACAAACGCTTCTGCAAGGAGGCTCGCTCCGTGACAGGAGCGAAACCGTGATGCCAAGTACGGACGGTGGACAAAGAAGATCGGCCGAGAGAAGGCACCTGGAATTGCATGCTGTGTTCATGATGTACGAGGCCGATGTGGCATCGCGAGTGTTGTACTCTGTACTCCGCACAGGTGATCTATTCTTCTGTCGGACTAAAATCACGGGTCCGTACCCGGGGACACCTCGGCGCGAAGGCAAGAGGGGTCAGTGCTTCCCTCGCCTCCGAAATGTGGTGTCTTGGGATTTTTAAGCACCTTTCCATCGCCAGGTGTTTCGACGACCGGCCGGTGTAGACGCGGCGAACCTGGCATCCGGAGCCTGGAGACTTCGCACACAGAGACGTCTCTCCTCTCGGCTTTGAGGTCACGCGGCTATCGACGCTCCAGCGTGCGGCGTCTCTTTGCGGCCACGAGCCGCTTCTGTCTCTGGTAGAGGCCGAAGGGGGGAATCGCAGCCTTGCTTAGCAGTGATGCGATCACAAGGCGCAAGGTGGTTCTAGACATGTTGCCTGATGCGGGCTGATTCATAGTCACATGGTTGCAGCATGTTGCAGCTCTGACTGGAAGAACATCGTCTGCCCAGTCCACCATGGACAGCCTGCGGCCGAAGAACGTCGCTCGAATCGCTTGGTCAGAGGTGGAAACGCTGGGACCTCAATCGTCAGTGCGGATGCGGATGTTGCCCATCGAAGCCGATCTTTGTGCCTCGTCGACAGAGGCACAACTCCAAGGATGACCTGTGGCATTGATGGGAAGGACTTGGGAGATTGTGGGAGCAATAGCGGGCAGACTCAACGAACGGAAGGTCTACGATGTGACATCCTTTCGCTGCATCTCGGCGGTGGTCAGCTAGTCGTCGATGCTGCAGCGCAGGCCAGGAATAGGGAGTGAAGATATCGCCTTCTGACATCTAATGAATCTAGAGCTTGTGCCAGGTCACCGCATCCATGCTCTCATGCGTACGCATGCAGTGCTGTTTTCGGGGCTGGGTTGCATATCGTCGAATCGGCGAGTGTTTGTCAAACAAGGCACGATGCCAAGCGGCAAACATTGTACCGCAGGATGCCACCTCCCTGTTCGAGAGGACGCATGGCGAGGGGTTGAGGTGGGCCACGTCGTTAGCCCACTGCTCCTTCAAGTTGCCTGAGCTTGGCAGCAGCAGCTTGGGTGATTGCAGCTATTTTCACATCGCATTCCTCAATATTTTTATGCTCAAGGCCCCAGCCACAGTACAAAACAGACGATGTTTTTTCCCACACCAGTGCTCCGCTACATCGGTGTTCGATATGAGACTCCAACAGGTTGATGCCAACTGCACAGGCACAAGAGCAGACTAAGAAGTCCAGCAGTCTGAGTGATGACATCGCTTCAGTGCACATGGCCCAAGGGAAGGGCAGTTCCTGTCTTCGATCTTCGCTCTTGTGCCTTGGATGTGCACGGTCTGTCACGCGACTCGATGCATGTTCCGTGTATTCCCCATCCCTTGCCGCGGTCAGTGCAGCCTGTCCGACGCAAAGCGACGATCGTGCTGCGTCAGGGGCGTGCTTGCCTACTTCCTGGGGGTGTTGACTGTTTCCTGGCGTGAGATGCGGCTGCGTAAGCCCCTGGGGGTCGTCGGGCAGCTTGCAATCGCAGCTGAGGTTGTTTGCTTCGATGCCGCCCGCGTCTCGCGCCGGGAAGGAGCAGGAAGCGTGCAGCCCTTCGAGACCTCAACCACCCAGGCTGCAGCGAGAGCAGTTGCACATAGTTTGCGGTTTACTTGGCTCCAAGACTTTTTTGCCGCTCGTAAGTGCAGGCCCTTCGGACCACGGAGGTGCCCGAACATGGGTCCGAGTTCAGGCGAGACAAGAAGGACGATTAGCGAATGGCATCGTCCATTGCGCAGCGCCAGGCCAGAATCGGAAGCAGAACCGCGAACCACGACAAGCACACCTGTGAGCACTACTGCGAAAGCAGGCGCCAAGGACAACGAGGCAGCCTTGCTCTGATTCTGACGGTCTCACAGCAGTCAGCCTGCGTTCGTGAGTGAGGAGCCAGTCCCGTCTCCGGAACTGCTGAAATCTGCACTGCGCGTGCGACACCCGGGGCCTCACGGACTCAAGCCGCTCGGCATCGAAGCAACTATCCACCGGTTTTGCTTGACCCAAAGAGTTTCGTTGAATTCTGAGGTTTATCCACATCAGCAAAACAGGCGCGGTCCCTTCTGCACGTCTCGGCCCGTTCAGAGAGAGAGATGGGCTCGCTGCCAGCCGGGCCCTGAGGCGGGACCTCCATTGAGCAGTTGGGCATCAACTTGCCTGAGCAATTGCGCTGGGGCGCTTGGGATCGCGAAGAGTACGGCTACCAGCATGGGGCGTTCCGGTGCCTTGTCAGAGCCTTCTTAGCTAATATGACATGAAAGCAGCATGAGGATCTGCGAAGTTGTCGATGAGTCCCTGCCTCCAGCGCCATCTTGCAAGCTATGTGCAAATCTGTTTTTTCATCAGTGCCAGGCCCACTCAAGCTGCAACCTTGTAGCTTTATTCGTTGCAGAGGCCTCGTATGAAAGTCTATGTCCAGGTTCTTCCCGGCGACAAAGCGTGAAAAGTATGATTGGCACCTCGGCTCCGATAGCTGCGTGGCTGCGTGTATGCGTTGAGAGCATGTGTCGCATCTTGGACCACGTCCTCGAGGTTTTTGGTGAGCCGAAATCCCGTGGACCGCTTCGTCTCAGAGATGCTCAGCCGCAAAGGAGGCCCACATGCCTTTCCCAATCTGTCTTTTTATGGGTAGCTATGTGCCGAACTGTCCAGCCTACGGTACAGTATCTACATATCTGCGTATACCTGCAAGCATGCAGTGTGGGAACAGGCTCACGCCTGCATTTCATGCATACATGTATTCAGATACGTATACATGTTAGTTACGACATGTACAAGTGCATTTGATTTACACTTACATACATATACTCATACCAATACTCATACTCGTACTGATACTGATACACATGCTGATACTATTCTTGTACATAATTGTACATACACACATTAGGGCCTGCCTCCAACAGTAATTGGCATGCCTTCTTTACAGGGTATGTGTCAAGGGTCTGGGGTCGTCCTTCAAAAGCACCAACAGACACTGATTTATGGGTCGATTATATAGAACAGACACTTATTTTAGGTGCGCACAGACACTTAGACCAGAATAGACACCCATTTTGGGTCCAAACAGACACTTATTTAGAGGTTTTCTTAGCGGAACAAACACTTATTTTAACCACTTGTTCGCGGCTGATTCTGGCAGAACAGACACTTGCTGTATTTTGAGGGAACAGACACTTATCCAGGGGCGATAAGTGTTTGTCCCGGCAGCAAGCAGCCACTTATCCGGGGGCCAATAAGTGTCTATTTTGGGAAAGAACTGCTTTGTTTCGCTGGCTTGGAAAGACTTGGTTCGGGGACTAGTTCGTCGCCCCGTGCATTTCTTGAGTAGCTGGCTTGGGCATCGACTCGTTGAGGACAATTTCGTCTCCCCCTACATGTCTTATATCGATAACTTGGACACAAAACGGCTGTGTGCTCTTTCGTCGAGCCTTCTAACTCTTGAAATACTAACTTGAAAGAAGGATTTGTTTGGGGACAATTTCGTCGCCCCGGACATGTCCTGAATCGAAGGCGTCCAAATCAGATTCATTTGGGGACAATTTCGTCTCCTATTCCCTTCGCTAACCGCCAAATTGCAATTGATTCTTTTGGCGAGAACTTCGTCGCTCCCTACATGTCGTGAGTCGCGACATGCAAAATGGCTCGTTTGGACATAATTGCATCGCCTCCTGCATGTCTTGCATCCTTACCCTGCAAGAAAGGATTCGTTTGGAAACAGTGTCGACTCCCCTGATATGTCTTGAACCGAAATCTTGCAACCAGGTTTCGCTTGGTGACATTTTCGTCGCCCCCCCAACATGTCTTGAAACGTTCGCTTAAAAAGATGCTGGCGAGCGCAAAGTATCGTCGCCCCTATCTTATGTGATGAGTCACTGGCTCTGAAAATCTCTTTTGTCTATTTCGTCTCCGTACATATTTTCACCGTTAGTTTGGAAAAAGCTTCGTTTCGTGGACAATTCCGTTCCGTCGCCCTACATGTGTTGAAACGCTTCATTGGAAAAGAGACACTTACCCAGGGGCCGATAAGTGTCTGTTCCGGGAGCAAATGCACACTTATCTGCCCCCGGACAAGTGTCTGTGTCTTCGCAGAACAGACACTTATCTGCCCCCGGATAAGTGTCTGTTTCCTCCCAGAACAGACACTTCGCGGCCCCCGGATAAGTGTCTGTTTGCTCCCAGAATAAGCACTTATCCGCCCCCGGATAAGTGTCTCTTTCCTCCCAGAAGTTAACAGACACTTATCTGCCCCCGGACAAGTGTCTGTGTCTTCGCAGAACAGACACTTCGCGGCCGCCGGATAAGTGTCTGCTATCTTCCAGAACAGACACTTATCCGCCCCCGGATAAGTGTCTGTTTGCTTCCAGAACAGACACTTATCCGCCCCCGGATAAGTGTCTGTTTGCTCCCAGAACAGACACTTATGGGCGCCCGGATAAGTGTCTGTTTCCTACCAATAAGTGCTAAATCTAACTTGAAATCAGTGAGTATTCCTCCCAGAAATAAGTGTGTCTATTCCTCCCAGAAATAAGTGTCTATTCCTCCCAAAATAAGTGTCTATCCCTGCTTACATAAGTGTCTATTCCTCCCAGAAATAAGTGTCTGTTCCTCCTCAAATAAGTGTTTATTCCTCCCAGATACAAGTGTCTATTCATCCACAAAATAAGTGTCTAATCCATACCAAGAACCCTTTAAAGAGTTACTGTTAGAGGAAGCCCCTAATACACACACCTACACATACGCAAACGCATGCATACGTACGTGCATACACACATGCGTAGGCACATGTATACACACACATAATGTACTCGTACATAGCAAAGCCTGCCGAACATTGTTTATGACGCAGGGGCTTAGGTCAGAGCACGAAGTAGGAAGGCTGGAGGAGACCATCGGGCTTTGGTACCCAAGAGATTTTCCCTTTCCCAGCAGTGCGTGCCGACAAGACGATGCGAGGGCATGGGCCAGTGACATGGAACGGGCAGACAGGGCAACACTCTGAGGTATCACTGTGGCTTCGAGGGCGTGAACTACATGCAATCCAGATTCCACACCGAGAAAGACTTCAACCATTGGATTCAGGCCGGCAGATTCCCGTCCAGGCAGCCTTGAGACCCCCCTTGCAGGGGTGTCTGCCGTTTCTTTTCCTTTTGTTCTTGCTCACTTGCCAGCATAACTAGAAAGCGCTTGAGAAACACGCTTGAGTTCTGGCAGGGCAGGGTGCGTCAAGGAGGAACGCCCGGTGGCCATTTTATTACGATGACAGCCCCCTGTCTATGAGTCTATAAGGGCAGGAGGGCAGTCATGCACGATGGGTTCCGGAAGTTTGCAAGGACTACTTAGATGCGGATCCTAACGTCACCCAGCACATCGTGCGCTATGAGAATCTGAATGCAGATCTGCGCTTTGTGTCGCTCAGTTTCGACATTCGACCTACACGCGGGGGTGGGCCACGATGTCTCGACAACAAACCTGCGTTGTGCGTGGACGTGTTCCGCAGGCTCGGTCTGTACAACATCACCTTTAAAAGAGACTTGGATAAATTTAAGTTAGGCCAGTCAGGCATTTATGCAGGTTAAGGTGGCACGGACGTTATGACAGAGGGTGCATCTTCTCAGGATTGCGGCATGATAACGGCGGAGGAAAGCGGATGTTCAGAAGAGGTAACGTCAGCAACGAGACGCTTGCATATATCCGTGCCTTTGCGCCATACCGGCGATGGGTGCTTCCGGCGAGTTTTTTAGAGCCAGAATCAGCTGTACTTTGACCCACAGGTGCCTACTATGCCGCGGACTTCGTCAACTTCGGTTACCCGTTGCCATGATAATGCACAGATGTGCAGCGCAGCAGAACGGTCGTGGCATGCACCGGACCGGTGACAGCCTCGAAGTGCACATGGACCTACACGACTCCGACGGCTTCCGGATCACGGCCTCAGGAGAGCTTCGACCTCGTGCATCCAAGCCGCGCAAATGCGCTCCAAAAACGGACGCATGCAAGTGGCATCCACAGCTCGATCTTTGCTACAATCCAGTGTGTAAATCCCGAAGGTACTCACTTCGATTGCTTAACCAGTTCTTCACTGGTCTGCGGCAACCCGGCGCAGGCAGGAGAAGGACTGTGTTCCGGATGGCACAGCGTATGCCGCACGGTGGCTGTGCCTCGAGTAGAGCATGCCTTCTGCATGCCCAGGCAAAGCCGGCGGAGCCCGAGGCGCTCACGACTTTCGATAGCCTTTGGGTGAGGTTGGGAGGATGGAAGTGCCTCTGTGTAGAACGCGAGACAAGGTTGCAGGCCGTCGTAACACGCCTGGAGCATTGATGCATTTAGCGCGTTATGTTCTTTCGAACGCATGATCGATGATACCTGGTGCTTTTCCAGGCGCCGAGCATGGAATTCTTGCAGACGTTGAGGCGTCATGAGGCGTCGCCGTCACGCCTCTTGAGACACGTGGCACGCATTTTCCTTCTTCAGGTCAATTACTGGGGCTCTGCACACATTTGACGAGGCGTCCCGGTTTTGCCGATGCCCTTCGGCATTGTATCCAGCAGTGTACGTGCAGCATGTGCAAGTCAGTGCCAGTGCCAGTGTGAAGGCGAAAGCAACGGGTGAACCGCAAGGTATACTGAAGTGACCAACTTAGGGAAAAGTTCGTCGAACTAGCTGGCGTCCCCGTATTGCGCCCAGGAGTATAGGCCGTTGCCGCCAAAGACAGCGGCAGCAGAGATACTCCCATCGGCGCTCACCTGCACTGTCAAAAAAAGCCTGCACGAGAGTTTTAGACGAGGCATTAAAGTTTCCCGTGTGTAAACGACCAGATACGAAGTTTCTCAATTATCGCCCTATGTCGTGTCTGGCCCAAACCTAGCAGCCTAGCATTCCCCCAGCATTTGTGCATATTTGCCGTTGTGCGGACCGCAGCTTACCGTGTGCAGTCAGATGAAAGACTACTTGTGAATGAGGGTTGATGGGACATATCGGTGCTCTGGGCTCGCATGCAGCTCTGCATGAGGTCTGCAGATTCCGCTTGGCTCTGAGATTCTGGTGCAGGATTTGCAAGACTTTCCTTGCCCCTGGATACTGCTGGATCTGTTCCTCTGGCCCAAAACAGTGATCGTCTTCGCTCGAGCTACTGCAGCGGTAACGCATACGTCTTTCACAGCCTTAACTTCTACACACACACACACAACACACCTTCAGGTCGGTCGTCGTAGCGGAAGATAATCTTACAGAATAGGTGTTCCGTGTGAACTCGACAGCATGTCGCCGGTGCCATGCAACGTGCAGTGGCGGCCTGCTGCGCCGAAACTGAATCCGTACGTCCCCGGCCCTTGGCCGAACACACTGGATGCGAGCGGGTCCCCTGGCGAATGCCAGTACACTACATGCGAGGAGAGGCTCAGCTGAAAAGACAGGGCCCAGCCGTTGCGTGTGGCATCTGCCTGGAATCTCGCGCAAGAGAGTGAGGTGGAACAAGTCGTTCGTCGTGGTGGACGTGCAAGAGCTCCTCGAGCTGTACTAACGAAAGTACGGTTGGAGTCTGTGTGCAAAGGACACGAGACAGTGTTCCAGCATTTTTCGCGCAGACACAGCATGACAAGACCTTCAATCGGCGCTGAGGTACGAGGAACTTCGGGCTGAGGCCCGGACGGCCCCGATGCTGCGCAAAACGCATTTCGGCTGCATTTCGTGAAGTGCCATCTTGGTCAGAGGCTTCGCAGCGGGCGTCTTTCTTTTCCGATTCTTCGGAGCTGTGCTCTTGCAGCTCCAGCATTCTGCGGTCGTTCCTTTCGCTGTTAAAGCAATACAGCATGGCAAAACATTCAAACTGTGCTCAGGTGCCGGGAGCTTCGTCGCGATTGGACTGACGCCGAGAAGCTGGAAAAACAGCTTCTCAGCTGCAGATGGTTCGATTCGCGGCCTCTCTGGGTGCACGATGGATGTGCTGCTTCCGTCGGAAGTTTTGAAGAGAGCGGCGGGCTGCGGGCCACCCCCCCCCACACCTCGATAAAGCTTTAGGCAGGGTGGAAACATGTTCCGACACACATTGAAGGTCCTCAGGACACGCTAGGCCCGATCGTTTGGAAACGCCAACAGCACCGGGTTTGATTCTCAGCTCGCTACAAGTAGAGGTTGCTTCTGCATCCTTTGCGTCCACCCACCGTCCCTGCAGGCTACATGTCCGGAGAATTGTTCAGAGGGCCCTGATGCAACTTGTCGGCGAGCTCGTTGAGATCAGCAGGGATGGCTACTCCAAAATTAGTGCATTTTGATGACCGGACAGCTGGCGCAAGAACGCAGGAGATGCAATGCTAGCACATCGTGTGCGACCTTGTGCCATGTAGTGACCATCTCCCAGACAAAATTTGCCACCTCCCCGAGCCCTCTTTGGTCTTCACACAGCCAAGTTGCCATTCCGCCCGAGCCATTCTCCCCAAGTTGCTGTAGCGAAGCCTTTTTATGCTGCTCCGGCGCCTGCCCACGCTTATAGGTGGTTCTTTGGACCAAGGCGCCTGGACGCACAGGCGGAGTGCGGGAGCGGTACGACCTCCGATCAGCTGCTCAGCTGCTGTGTCGCTCGGGAGCTCGGAACCACGACTAGCCTGGAGGAGGAGGGCCGAGCTAGCATGTGAATGGCACGCGCATAGCACAACAAGGACCCCGTGAGACATGTCAATGTCTTGGATCTACAGTGCGTCTGGAGTTTGAGAATATGCCGATATCCCCAAAAACCCTGCCGCCGCGAAATGTTGACAACGCCTGGTTTTGCACCCTTGTGTCAGTCACATCGCCAGGACGCATCAAAATAGTTGGGACAGGTGAGTTGTAGTGACTGTTTTGATTTTGATTATTTCATAGACAGCTGGAGAAGGTTGAAAGCTTCTTCGAGGTTGCTCCAGAATAAATGTCCTACCATCTGACTTCTTGCAGCTCTTGACTGTTAATTCCTTGCTTGAGGTGGTTGCACGGACCAAGGTGTCCGGACGAAGCAGAGGTCGAGAGCGACACGTCGATGGCTTCAAACGAGTGCCTCGATCAACCCCTCGATCAGCCACTCGGCAAATGCCAGGGACGATGTTGGCGAGCATGCCACCCGCAACACATGGGATCGTTCCCTGTGCCAAGGCAGACGGTGTCTGCACCTTCTCTGAACAGCGACGACGGCTCTACGAAGGAGGCAAGCGAAGTGTCGCAGCGACGAAACTCCTTCTCGCATCTGAGCGGCTCCCCCGATAGGAGCTTCCACACCCTGCCCCTTGCCACGGTTCTGCGCGCGAGGCGTTCTGCTTAAGTAAGCTGTCGATGGGAGCCAGCACCTTCCCAGAACTCCCCCGACGCATGTGGTTACCAGGTCGAGATGAAGGATGGTGAGCAGCCCAAGATGGAGGCCCTGAGAGTGCAGCTGCCGAAGGAGCACAGCGGTCGATGTCCTCGGTTGACAGGAAGATCTGCCTGGAGCGCTCCGGGCCGAAATGGGCGAAGTTCACGAGGGGACCTCAAGTCAGGTTGAGATGCCCCTCTGGCCGCATGCTGGGTTCGCATGCCGAGCTTGTGCCACCCTGCCGCACGTGGGTGTCTTCGGTCCACGGAGAGGCAAGAAAAGAAGCGGAAAAGGGGAGCCTCAATGGACTCGATGGGTGCACACAGACCGGAATCCGACGCTGAGAAGGCGCAGGCCTCCATTCGTCTCAGACGCATGTCTCGTGCCCTGAATTCCGTCGAGTTTGCCGAAGGTCACGGATCCTCTGCACAAGTCCTTCGAAACTCTGCAACTTGGCCGCGAACGAGCTCCAGACAGGGACAGCTGCTGTGAAACCACCGCTGTTGACGCATGTTGACGCTATGGCGGTCACTACTGTAGTAGCGCTGTCTGAGCATGCCGAGGTCCGTGTTGTTGCAATACCTCTCCGTGGCTTATCTCCCATACATCAGTTACTGGCAAGTAGCTGTGAATGGAAGCGTAGTATCACATACAGACCCGCGACACTGGGACCCGAGGTGACTGACATCTTGGCCTGGCGTCAGACATCTCTGGAGAACCGGAGTCCCAAGGCCGGGGGTGTCTCGGTAGCTGATCCCTGCTGGCGAGTCCACGCGAGGTCTTGTTGCAGCACGTGGCCAACCTTTGCCCTTGCAGCTTGGACACGCCGGGACCTAAGGGCCGACTGGCTCACGTACTGGTGGGCTGAGGGACTGACGTGCAAATCCCGATCCGTGCAGGGCCGACATGCTCGTCGCCTATTTTGCATTCGTGAACCGGCGTGTGACCACGATCTCAGTCTCCGAAGCCGTCGATGTCGAAGAACAAAAGCGCTTTCAATGCTTCTGGATCTGTTTAACACGAATTGTAGAATGGGAAGTCCTTTTGCCTGCGGTTCCATTCAGCATATACCAACTTGCTGAGCTTGCTTACTCGTCTTCCTTCATCTCAGGCCAGGACTGGTGTCGCATGCTGGCCCGCGCCAGAACTACCCATTCCTTTGATGAAGCGGACGTGCGTACGATCATCTGCCAGCACCTCCACAGCGCATTCAGACTTTTTCTCGACCCAAGTGACGACGTGGCTGCTTCGGCCCACGATTTGATTGCAGAATATGGTCAAGGCGGCCTGCCCTTTGCGCACGAGCTGATTGCAGAAGCTATGCTCAGTCGGATGCGACACATCATGTCGACCAAAGACAATTTTTGGGTGGGCTGGCAACAGATGTTGTACTGCATGCAACACCTCGAGTCTGTCGTTCGATCGCTGACCAAGCCTCAGCGGCAGGAATGGGTATCCTTGCTGGTCACAGGCCTGCATCGTCTTGAGTGTCGCATTCAATC